ATGTTGACCAACCAGACATTTTTAAGCATGTTGTTTCAGAACTTTTAATTTAAAGGCCATTACATAGGCATGACTTATTAAATCACTGGTCATTGATGATGTAACTCAATCTCTAGCCTCTTTCTTCCTGTGGACATTGGTGGGTGCTGCTTTAAAGTTTTAACCTTCAAATCACATGGTTGGTTTTTCCTAGTCCCTCCTCCCATACCTTTAGTCATCATGTGTCATTAGCAGACAGCAGATACTTCTATCACTCAACCAATTTCAATTGTTTTAGGAACTTTTTATAGTGGAGGGAGAAAAGCCATATTTCTATTACAACAAATCATCATGGAATTTTAGTGAATACATTTGTTTATCTGCTTTCCCTTCTGGACTATAAACTCCTTGAGGAAGTTTCTTATATTTATTTTTCTTTTTTACTCCTGATGCACAAAACAGATATATAGATATTTTTAATAAATGAATGACTGTCTAAATGAAGAAAAATAATCGCATTTTATTAGTCTATAACATTGCTCAGTAATAAAAATACCATAGAGCTAGATAGTTCAACAGAAATGCTACTCTCACTAAATTGTGATAACTCACATGGCAAAATTCTTATTAATTAAATTTTGGGATATTTAAACCAGGTATCTAGTCCCAAATTGGCCACTTATTTGCTATATATATGATTGGTCAAATCACATTTACACTGTAAACCAAAATTTTCTCAAGTATAACACATAGGAAAACTAATACCTTCTTTTATTACACAGTGATATTGTGAGCGTTAAATAAGAGAATGTACTAGAGTGATTACAACTTCAAATCATTAGTCAAATGAATAATTAAGTTGTTATTAAATATTAATAAGCACATAAGAATGGCTTTAAACAGCAAAAGAATTTTAATGAGAACACATAGAGAAAAACATTTGCTATAAATTTTATTTAATATTGAAAGAGGTTGAAGTGTTGGAGTTGCACACATAACTCATTCTGACCTTCCAACTCAAGTTGAGAAGGCTGTGGCACTGGAGCAGAAGGGACATTGTGAAGTACATTAAAAACCACCCCATTTTCAGTCCACTTGGATCTAATGCTATAATCAATGGGAAATTTTCCTGTATAAAGGCTGGAGGATACAGTATATCACATTCAACTCTTTCCAATAAGGTTATTTATTGCTACTCAATTCACATTTCCCTCAGGTTTTGGCAAGATTATTGAATTTATTCTCCTACACAGTAGCCAGCCAAGTAAATCACATTGCATACTTCCACTGTCACACATTTTTCTCATCCAGCATCACTGGCTTTATTTCTTTGTTCCTTAGAGTATCTTAAAATTTAGCAGTGCCAGCTTCCCTTTTATAATTCTGCAATTTAGTATTATTGTTTCCTTCCTTATATTTTCTTAATAAAAATGCCAAAAACATAGTGTGAGTCAGGTGGTTTCCAACAATAAAACCAGAGACACAGTGATAAATATTATAGGCAAAACATTTTTCCTTGTAGACAAAAGGTATTTGTTGATATTAAAACAAAAAAGAATACTATCTCTGCTACAGGGTCTCAGAGCACTTCATTAGAAATAGAGAGACATAAAGAGCTGCATGAGAGCAGCCTCATGGGCTCCCTGAAGGATGTCAGTAGTGAAGACCATGCCCTCCCTGCTTCATGCCACACATTCTTAGTAAAGAAGTTTAAACTCCTGAGATCTGCTCAGGTTATGCTGCCTTGTAACTCACTGGCAATCTTTTTTTTTTTTCTTTTAACTGACTTTGGTGGACAGCACTTTGGTAGGATAAAAGACTCCATCATTTGTTTATATTACGTTTCCACTTTCTAATAGGCCAAAAATCTTATTGATAATATTATATCATACCTTACTATTCTGCATCATAAGATACTATACTATGTTATCATGATAGCATATCAAATTATGGTAGACTATAGAAATTATACCATCCTATACTATATTTATTATGAGGTACCGCATTGTATCAGACTATGTAATTTCTAAAAGGAACGTGTGCATATATCTATTTTAGCAATAGAGGCATGAGTGGTTCATCTTTGAACCATAATATATAGTATGCCTTAATACACAGTCATTGTAAGTTATAAGGACAAAAAAGTGTTCATACAAGTAGGTATCACTAAACTCTTCATGGCTAATGAAACAGCCCATAATAAATTAAATAGATAATGACAAACTGAAGCAAATGGTAGCATGAAACTGACAGAGTATCAAATTGAAACCCTGATCAACGAAAAATCTGCCCTGCTGTGCCACCAATAACATGTTTCTTTTGAGTGCTAGGAAACTTCAGTATGGTTATGTGTATTTGTAGGAGGCATCTAAGTGTTTGTTGAGTAAGGCTCATTCTCTTACTTAAGTTCTTGCAAAATTCTGAAAACCAACAATTTTAGGTTGTAAATACCAAATTTTTAAAAATATTAATTAGTAATAGTAACTGATTTCAAAATTTCTCTTCCACAGGAGCATTGCTCTTATTTGGGGTTGGAGAACTCTTCACTGTGGGCTCCTAGACCATTATTCTTTATTTGTCTCTCACTATTAAATGCTAATAGGATCATTCAATCTTTGTGACCATTAAGAAGATCAATGTAAAAAGCTTCCAAGTAGAGGGATATGTTGTGAAGACTCATATTGCTTGTAAGAATTTTGAAAGGATCAGTGCAGAGTCCTGTGTGTGTGGAATCAGGAGACCCCATCCCCTCAAACTGAACCACTGGATAGTCTAATGGGCCCATACTCAAAGGTATAAATTTTGCAAGCACTGTGGTGCAGGAAATAAACTGCTCTCCTTTACTTAATGACCTCAGATGATTTTGTTGACTTCTCTGAGCTTTAGCTTTCTCCGTTGTTTCTTTTCTGTGCTTAGGATGAGCCCAAGACCTCATACATGGTAGGAACACACTCTATCACTGAGCTAGCCACTGCTTCCCAGCCTCTTTCTCAGTACTGAGAAGGGGATATTTAAATATTTTATATGAATTTACGCAAAGTATTTTATGTTATAAATCATATGGCAAAAGCTATTATTAATTTTATTAGTTTTTTTAAAGATGGGGGTTCATTTTCAAATATGGTTACAGAACTATATCATAAACTCATAAATTCATTGCAGTGAGTGCAATGAATCCTGCTAAAGCCAAGTAGGAAGGATAGGAGTTAAAATCCATAAGGGGTGACAGCAATTACTGGCAGGTTAGCAGCAGACTTCAGCATAGTTACAGTAAATTGGACTTATGGGTAGGAGGGGTATCTGGGACATATTGATTTTCAGAATCACTTCATTATTGTCAAACTAAAACGTGTGTTATATTCCTACATTCTCTATTATCAATGAGACCAAACATTTTCTGCAGTTAGTTCAATTTCATTATGCAGTTTCATTAAGCATGTGCTAAATTTTGGCACTATTTTGCCTTGGAAAATACAAATTATATATCTGAAATCTTTCTAAAAATATTCACTCCTGATTCCCTTCTTTATTATTGAAAAAGTTGTCTTCTCTTTAATAACTTTTTTTAATAAACAACTTGTCTTTGCATAATTTTCATGATGTTTTCCTGATTCAATTTTCTCCCTTTAAAAGTTTTCTCTTTCTACATTTCTTTTCTTGTATTCTTTCAGATTTTATACTGAGTATTGTTTTTCTTTTGCCAACTCACTATGTGGTCCTATAATAAATAATACGGTATTCAGATTCTGAATACTCATTATAATAAAAAAGAAGTTGTTAGGCAGAAGATGAAAATTACTTCTTCATGTTCTCATTTTTATTTTGAAATCCCTATGAATTTAAGTAAGTTAGAAATAAATTTGTCTGTCTAAATTGTAGAATATAATTCTACAATTTACCAAGGATCTTCAAGGATCCTTGGTAAATGACTAGAAGTTAGAAGGGAAGAAGGGGGGAGGAGAAGAGATGGGGAGATGGACAAGGCTGACAGAAAATACACAATAATTGTGCATGTTGGTGAACAGTGGCATTGAGTTCAAGTTTGCTTCCCTTTCAAGGTAATATATATAGAGAAAGTTCTCAGGCAATAGTATAAGGTGCACTTTCAATGAATCTTGTGCTTTTTTCCTTTTAAATTCATGAATGTTATAAGTCTAGTAGAATCTTTGTGTCATACAAGATTGTTCATGGCTTTTGATTTTTATGTCAAAGGACACAGTGGCAAAATTGCTAAAATGCTTAGATAAAATATTCATTGCTTAGTAGTAATTACAAACTGAAATTAGGAAATAAGAATTCGAGATAAGCAGAAGCGATTTTGTAGATCCATTTATCTGTGTTCCCCTCTAGGTATATTCCACATTTTCACTGCATAATTTGTAAGCAAAAGCCTGTTGTAGTCTTGGACTTCAATTATATGAACCAAAAAATGCATTTAGAAGATCCATGATCACAATTCATGTCTTAAGGGATTTTAGATTATTTTAGCTATTATAGCAGCTACTCTGGTTTCTGAAAAAATGATGGACAAGAAAACTATTAACACTTCTTCAGTTTAAGCAGGGAAATGTGAACATCAACTAACAGGACAAGAACTGGATTATTATGGCTATATTTAATGGCTTTTTGTAAACGTTAAACTTTTGCTTCATTACATTTCCAGAAGGCAGATGGACCCTTTGGTGCATTCAAAAGAACATGTCTCCAACTAAGGTTGGAGTCACTTCTGTGTTGTTCATATTTAGGTTTAGGAGGGACAAGAAGAAGGTATTCTGATCTCCTGGACCAACTATATTTAGATAGAGTTCTCAGCTTCACAATAAGCAGTGATTGGCTTTTGTCCAATTCAGGGGCAACTTGCTACTTGCTGGACATTGTAGCTACAGTTACTATAAAACCCTACTTGAATCAAGATGACATTTAAATACCTTTACCTTCCACTTTCTCCTCTTTGTTCTGCCGTATGTCTGAAGGCAGCATTCAATATTGAATACAGTTTTCAGTCCTCCACTCCACCTTACCTCCTTCAGGTTAAACAATCTCATTTTCTTCCAGGTACTCCTCTTCCATTTTCTAGTCCTAGATGCACTACCCCAATCACACTTTGTTCCTGCTTCAGTAAACTGCAGCTCTAAAAGAAAATGCACTATTTCAGGCATGGCTGTAGTATGATCACTGAAGAGTAAGAGAGGCTGTCCTGTTCCTTGTTCTGGACATGCTCTCATTATAAATATGGACTAATATCACATCAGCTTTTTGGCAATTGCATCAAATCTCTAATTCACACTGAGTTAAGTGTGCTTTTTTCCAAGTTCTTCCCAGTACACCTTTTCCTAAGTTTGTTTTTTGACTGGAAGATGGGGCATTTATTCCCATTTCATTTTACTTCCCCAGATTCGTTCCAGTGTTAAAGCCAGTGTAGATGTTTCTGAGCCTTGATCTGAGCTTTTGCTAAGTGAACCATTTCTCAGTTTCATGACATTTGCAAATCTGATTTCCAGGGAGCCACTGATTCCTAAGACTCAATGTAGAAAACCTTTATATTAAAAAACACTTTTATGAAGGTTAGATCAAAAAGAATTAAACTAGAAGGTAACACACACGCACAGGAAAGTAATGTGAGTCAACTCCCTGTATAGCTATCCTTATCTCAACCAGGAACACTTGTTCCTTCCTATTATTGCCTATACTCTCTCTTCAACAAAATTAGAGATAAGGGCAAAATAGTTTCTGCTGGGTATTGAGGGGGTGGGGAGGAGAGGGACGGGGAAGAGTGGGTGGTAAGGGAGGGGGTAGGGGCAGGGGGGAGAAATGACCCAAGCCTTGTATGCACATATGAATAATAAAACAATAAAAAAAACACTTTTATGATATAAGATCCCTTTTAAATAAAATTAAAGATAAACTTCACAAATATTTTATATAATGCTTTTATAAATGAGTTTTTTTCTAGCAACTTTAGAAATTTTTTGAGTCTCAAGATATATTGCTTGAAATTACTCCATTTTTTAAAAAATTAAGACCTTACTTACTAAGACATATGTTTAGGTTTGCAACAGGAAAAATGTGTTAAAACCTGATTTCACTAATAGATTCCTGGATTTCACAGAAGGACCAAAAATTGTTTCTATTTATGGCACTTTAGTGGTACAGAAAAAGCTTGGCATAACAGACTCTGCTAGAATAACATAGAATTCAAAATAGATTCTGAATGCTCAGAAGCATTCAGAATCTGATCATATCTGATCATATCACCAGATCATATAAGGTGACTGCTAATGACTAAAACTAAATGAATGTGAAAAAGTATTCTCTAGTGACATGCACACATGCTGGCTATGTGCTTCATATTGTTTTTCAGTCTTGCAGGGAATATGACAGAAAGAAACACTGTTACACTATCATTTTAAGTGATTATGTGAGAATTGGTAGCCAGAGTACAATATTTCAAGCATGAGTATGGGGTGAGCCATATAACTACATCTCATGGATTCTAGACCAGAGGGGTTCTGTCAATGGAGTCTGCTTGATGACACAAAATTCATTCACTTATACCAGTCTTCTTAGCAGACAACAACTGGGGGTGAACTGTAATATCATCATAGCAAGTGCCTCTTTTAGGATACATAGGGCGTCCTCCAGTGCAAGCAGGCTAGGCCTTTTGAAAAATTGTAGTCATAGCAATGGTGGATATTCCAAAATCCTGACACATTTTCCTCATGGGGAACTACTGCTATTCAGTTAGGAGATTGAGACTACATGGTGATACTGATCTTTTCTTACTTGCTGGTTCAGAGGAATAAGGATCCCTTTATTTTATGACTCCTTATTTTTAACCCTAAAACCATAACACCAACATTTATATTCGATAGAACTTGGTAGGGAAAATGAAATGCTAGTATCAGTTTATTATTTCCTCCTAATATGTGCACTAATTAGATGTAAATGCTTTTATATTTAGAGGATTCTCAATATTTAGCATCTTAATAGCCTTCTAATTTAGACATATTTACTTTTACAATTTCATCAAAACAATCTCTCTCCATTTTTATCTCTGCCCAAAAACTCAAACTAAATCAGTTAACTGTAAATATATTGCCTGTGTTTATAATAACCTTAACTTGCCCATTAACGTTGGTTAGTCCTTTCAGCCTTTTCCCTAGGCATTTGTCTCTGGCCCTCAGAATAAATCATTCTCTGCAGTATCCTTCTTTTTGTCCTAATTTGGGATATTTGCAAGTTTTACATGTTCCTTTTACCTCTCTTTGTCTATGAATTGCATCCCAACTCTCCTTGGACCACAATGTGTTTCACTTTCCCAGAAAGTCCTCTTGTTTCATGCCTTTATTCACTGTTTTGCTTATCCTTGGCTATCTAACGGTCTCTTTGTGAAGCTTTACATTATCTCATCAGCTGAAGTAATTTCATTCTTTCTTAGAACATCTAAAGAAACTCACCTGTACCTTCTTATGGTATTTATCAACTTTTAACTGGAATAAGTTTAGAGTTACAGAAAAGATAGAGTTCTCATCACACCTGTTAGCTAAACATCTCTTAATGTTAATACTATTCATAGCCACAATACAATGGTCAAAATGAATGAATTAAAATTGGCACAATAGTTTTAACCTAGCTCAAGTTTATTTAGATTTCATCGGTTTTCAGTAATATGTTCTTCTCGCTCCAGGATCAAAATTAAGTTCCCACATTTAACTGCCTTGTCTCCTTAATCTCCTCCAAACTTTGCTGATTCCTCAACCTTTCTTTATCTTTCCTGACCTTGACAGCTTTTTACCTTAAAATATAATTTCATTTGTGCATGTCTATTTCCTTACTCTGCTGTAGGTTTCTTATAAGATTTGTCACTGTGACACATTTTTATTCCCCAGAGTGTCTAGCACATGATAGGCGCTCAATAATTACTACTTTACTAAATGTCAGAAACAATTATAAAGGATGATAAGAAAATCTACATAATTAAATTCTGAGTTGTGGGCTACAGAGCCTTCAAGTTCTTATGAAAGTTAGAGAGCAAGACTAAGAAATTATAGGACAGAAAACTCTCTTTGCCAATGCTCTGTCTATATCTGTATTTGCTTTCTCTGGGCCCCCAGAACAGGAACCACTGGTGCCTCCAACCCATGACCTAATCACAGCACATGGGAACTTGGTGGTTAGAAAGAGAAGCCTCAGGCCCAACACACTGCATGGTTATTTTTGGAGCTCACTATCACTAGACCTCATATGTCCTGTGGCACGGATGGGTCTTGGCCACTTATATAGACACTGAACTAAAGTAATTATTCCTACCTCTCTAACACCTTGGTTTCTGTTCTATAGCTTTCTTTTAAAAACTCGGAACAGAGAACTCTGGTTTTCTTATCTGGGACCCTGAACCCCAGTTGCTTCCATTTTGGGTTCCTTCTACCAGTGGCTGATGAGTGTATCGTGATGACTTAAGCCATGATATTAACACTCACCTACCCAAGATACCTCCTTTTGACTAGGTTTCCCCAGGGTTATGAACTTTCTACCCCTGTTGAGTAGCACACTTCTACTATGAAGCCAGGAGAATCCTTAGCTGGAAGTTCCATGACTTTTGTATGTTCTATGCACTGGCTGTCCTCCTTAGCCATTGAGGTTGTTTTCCCACCAGCCCCTACTGCCAGGTCCCAGAATATTTCAGAACTGTGCCCATTCCCTTCTGACTCAGCTGTGCCTAGGTATTTCATGTTGATATTAATCTCAAATCATTATGATTCTTCCTCATTCCCTACCTCCTGTGCCTGTGCCTTTTTTCTCCCTTGAACTTGTTAGCTTTGACCTGCTAAAGAATAAACCCATCTTCTGAGACCACAGAAGCTTTGCTTTGTTTTGGAGAGATCTAATTACTGGCAACCAAAGGAGAGTATTCTTTAATCTCAGTCCCACATTGCATCAGATTTAAATCTTTCACAAAGATTCAGAAATACTGTCTGACAGAACCAGGAACAATTGAACTGATATCTATTGTGTTTTAACTGAAGCATGGCTGCATAATTTTTCATTTTCTTTGGAAAGCCTTACCACAAAGAGAAAGCATGCCAAGTAGGGTCCCACAGAGATATTTTGACATTAGGCTTAATAAAGCATGAAGAACTCATTAATAAATAATGTTCTGTTAAAGTTAAGAAATAAAGCTGAATGCACTGGCTAGACCTTGAAGTAAATCAAATCACACATAGAGCCATGTGACTTGTTAGCTTGCAGAAGTCTCCTCAAAATGATCTGGCAATGCCCAGTGCAACAATACACAAATAAAACCAGCAGATCATAAATGCATGCACCTTCAGTGATGATTCAGACTGTCAATTTTTTACACTCCATGGGTCTAAAATAGTAAACAAACCATCATTGATGCTGAACCAGAGGCATTCCAGTGAGAATTTTAATCTTTGCTGAGGCCCATCCTACTCATTGACATGTTTACACAATGGTAGTCACACTTACATACATGCTTATTTCCTGTCAGCTCATATTATTTGTCTTATTATTTACAGGTAGTTGACAAGAATGAATAGAGCATGGCTAATGGTCAGCTAAAATGGTTTTTGATAAACTTTTTAGTCTGACCCAGAAAACCTTCCAGAATGTCCAGAAATTAAAAAAAAGAAAACAAACAAAAAAAACCCTTTCTTCTTCTAAAAGCAAAAACAAAGTGCATTGATCCTAGAGTATACTTTCCTGGATTTGGAAGTATTCATAGCTTCTCTTGATAGTGATTTCTTGGTGAATGTTCTTGGAGCAGTGGAGGGTAGGAGAGACATTGGGTAGGTTAGCTGGCTGCATTTCTCTAGTGGCATGTAGTGCTGATGCCAGCTATTGCATCACAGAGTTTTTATCATGATTATGAACTTATGGACAGCTGTCCAGTGTCAGTTCAGCATGACTCACTTGCTCCAGCTGTTCAGCAATCTCTAGGGACAGAATCTGCTGCTCACTTCTGACTGCCCACATTCTCCATTTGCTAATGGGTTTGGCAGGAAAGCCATCCACCATGCAATAGGATAACCATTTGCAGGCAATGTTTTAATGAAACAACTTGTTGTATGGGTTCAATTTCAACTCAAAGGCCTTGCCAACCATGTCCATATGCACAAATTTATACACCTTGCCAGGCATTTTATGTGGTTATGATGACAAAGCCATGAGGTTGCCATTTAAATCCTATTCCAAAGCTGTAGAGTTAAAGCAGTCATTCTCCCAAGAATGCAAGTAATGTTATTTGAATTTTTACTCTCCACATACATATTCAAATAATATAATACTATATACACACATATATGTATATGTATGAAGTTACATAATTATACAAAGTCATATGTTTAAAACCTATTTATTTTCAAGTTAATGGATATAATGGAAATGTTGGATCAATTAGGGTTTACAGTGTTTCATGGCAAGATTTTGCTTTTGAAACAGACATGAAGACAGTGGAACAGAATAGAGGACCCGGATATGAATCCATACAACTATACCCAACTTATTTTTGACAAAGGTGCTAAAAACATATGATGGAGAAAAGACAGCCTCTTCAACAAAAGCTGTTGGGAAAAGTGTTTAGCAGTCTGCAAAAAACTGAAACTAGATCCATGTTTATCACCCTGTACTAGTATCAACTCAAAATGGATCAAGGACCTTAATATCAGACTCCAAACTCTAAAGTTGGTACAGGAAAGAGTAGGAAACACTTTGGAAGTAATAGGTATAGGCAAGGACTTCCTCAATAGAACCCCAGCAGCTCAGCAACTAAGAAAAAGTATAGACAAATGGGACTTCATAAAACTAAAAAGCTTCTGCTCAAAAAAAGAAATGGTCTCTAAACTGAAGAGACCACCCACAGAGTGGGAGAAAATATTTGCCAGGTACACATCAGACAAAGGACTGATAACCAGAATATACAGGGAACACAAAAAACTAAACTCTCCCAAAATTAATGAACCAATAAAGAAATGGGCAAGTGAACTAAACAGAAACTTCTCAAAAGAAGAAATTTAAATGGCCAAAAAACACATGAAAAAATGCTCACCATCTCTAGCCATAAGGGAAATGTAAATCAAAACCACACTGATTCCACCTCACCCCTGTTAGAATAGCCATCATTAGAAACACCAACACCAACAGGTGTTGGTGAGAATGTGGGGAAAAAGGAACCCTTGTACATTGCTGGTGGGAAAGCAAACTAGTACAATTACTCTGGAAAAAGATTTGGAGGCTTCTTAAAAATCTAAACATATATCTGCCATATGATCCAGCAATCCCACTTCTGGGGATATACCCAAAGGAATGTGACAGGTTATTCCAGAGGCACTTGCACACCCATGTTTATTGCAGCACTGTTCACAACAGCCAAGTTATGGAAACAGCCAAGATGCCCCACTACTGACGAATGGATTAAGAAAATGTGGTATTTATACACAATAGAATTCTACTCAGCCATGAAGAAGAATGAAATCTCATCATTCGCAAGTAAATGGATGGAACTGGAGAACATCATCCTGAGCGAGGTCAGTCAGGCTCAGAAGACCAATAATCAAATGTTTTCCTTCATATGTGGACTTTAGATCAAGCAAATACAGCAAGGGCATTGGACTTTGGTCACATGATAAGGCAAGAGCACACAAGGGAGATATGAGGATAAGTAAGAAACCCAAAAAACATGATAGTATTTATGTCCTCAATGCAAAGGAACTAATGCAGAAACTTTAAAGCAACAGAGGCCAATAGAAGAAGGGGATCAGGAACTAGAGAAAAGGTTAGTTGGAGAAGAATCAACTTAGAATGTAACTCATATGTACATGAAACCAATGCTAGGAATCTCCCTGTATAGCTGTCTTTATCTCAAATAGCAAAATCCCTTTGTCCTTCTTATTGTTTATATTCTCTCTTCAACAAAATTAGAGATAAGGGCAGAACAGTTTCTGCCTAGAAGCGAGGGGGTGGAGGGGAGAGGAAGGGGGCCGGGGGTTGGGGGAGATGAAGAGGGCAGGGGAGAAAGGGAAGGGGTGAGGGAGAAGGGGGAAAGAATGACCCAAACATTATATGCACATATGAATAAATGGAAAAAAAAGATTTTGTTTTTGAACAAAAGGACATGTGGAGTAGTAAAAATGACAGTAGTCTATATCTACTCTATAGATGGTTGTCTATAAAGTGCCTTACAAAGCACTTTACATGAATAATCTCTTTTAACGCTAATAATCCTATCATGATGGTAATGTTATTATGTGTATTTTATATATGAGGAAAATGAGATTTAGCAAACTGAAGGTGACCAAGTCACATAGCTAGTAAGTAGTAGAACTGGGGACATGAGTTTAAGCATTCTGATTTTAAAGTTTATCTTGTCAGTTATTATTTCTATTTCCTTGCATGTCATAAGGAAATTTATGGTTGGAAAAAACGGGACAGTCCAGTCTATATCCCTTTGCATTGAAATGAATTTAAATTTAGCCCAAATATTCAAGTTACCTTTCTGTACATTTCTAACAAACATTAAGCTACGTATGTGTGTAAATACTCTGTTTTCCATTAGTGGTGTTTCTCAATGCTAAGGTACAAAACAAAACATAAAAAAAGAATATTTTCATTTAATTACCTAAACAACTAAATGGTTTCAATGTCTAATGTGTCTGATATTTACCAAACTGTTTAATGACATTAACTATTCTCTTCATAAATTAAATAGTACGCAAAACCTCAATGTTGAAAATTGTGCTTCTTTTGGGAAAGAAGAAAACTTGGTTGAAAGAATACTAAGTGCAGGAGTAGGTATGAAGTTTTGAAGGAAAGATGTGTTTCCTGACGAGCTATGAGTGATATGGAATTCAAACATCCTCCCAAAACCAAGAGTTATACTATTTCATCTCTGTTAAGAATAGAACACCTTACAGTCCCATGTCCAAAGTCTAAATAATTAGGAAATATATTCTTGCTGTCAAAGCATAAATAATACCTTTTTAATACTGCCTTTTTGCTTAAGCTTCTGCATGTATTGACTTATTTACATGTAAAATGTAGAAGGAGAATTTATAATGACCATGTCAATCCATATAGAAACTTCTGTTGATTATCGACTGAGTCCTTCCCCCAAAAGATTGAAACTGAATTTTTTATTTCTTTGTTATCCTTAGAGTGGTAAGTAGATTGCTTTGAAAATAATTCTACTTTTCATAGTGTACAATTTATTATTCAATTCTAAACTCTACACAAAAAGGTATAAATGCAAATACTCATTCACAATAAGTGTGCTGCCCTAAGGCACCATTTCTACATCATAAGTATTTGGATATTATATTACATTATATTGTCTGTCAAGCTTTACTTCCAGCCACATTATTTTTACTCTTTCCAATTTACATAATGTGTGAAAAGACAATGAAAGGCAAGGTATGTTCAATTTTAAACAGCCCAAGAGACAAACTATAACATTCCTGGACCACATTGGTTTAGATAGAAGGGGCATGTGGTCAATAAGTCCCTGTTGATCAGAGGACAATTAATCTATGAGATGATTAAAAAATGGAAAAAATAAGCTCCTTTGGGAAAATAATGTGTAAAAAATATTGTTGCCTTCTAAATCACATTCTAACTCATAGGAGAAGGGAGAGAGGGTAAGGAAGGAGAGAAATTTTCAAAGACATCACTATGGGATTCAGACAAAATGAACTCAATCAATCATAAATGAACATAAATTAGTTATTTTTATAGCTTTTCTTTCATTGGTAATCTGAAATTTATTATGTTGGTAATGTCTTAAACATCTTTTTTGGTTGTTATTGAAAATAATAAGCAATTTAAATGCCTAGGGCTAAAAACTTAATAGTCATCTCATTAATAAGAGCCATATATAGTTTTTTCAGGTTTTTAGATAGTTTTAAATTATAGATTTCTGTTAATTTTAACTATTAATAGAAGACTTCAATTGAATAATGTATGGATATAGGAACAGATAGAAGATCCAGTTTTTAGCTTTTTAGTTTTTATAGAATGTTCAGATGTACAATAAAGAAAAAAAATCAGGATGGATTGTTTTTTCCTACTTGTTTCACCATCAGACAAACCATTAAAACCTTGAAAATTTCATGAACTACTCATTAATTTTTTGGGCCCAAAATGTATATCTATTTTCTATAATCATCTCCATCAATCATTTAGAGCCCTGTACCTAAAGTTGTACATACTTGAAAATTTACTTTTAATTTAAATCATATTGATTTAATAAAAGATATGTTTGGGACTATGTATGGAAGTCTGTCCTGTGCAATCAGAAATCCCCATTTTGTCATTGAGAAAGCCATGGTTATATCTTTTATCTCAAGAAATTAAGAATTCACTTACAAGAACCAAATGTATAATAATCTGACATGCTTAAAGTAAAACCTGTCCTGAAAAATAAATTGATACTGCTTTGTTTATTTTTTTGCATATGAGATTCCATATGCTTAGCAGACAGTCTTATACTTTTCTTTGGGTATTGAATATTTCATCCCTCTGTCCTTTTAAGTTTACTGGAACTGTTTTACAATGAGTTATATTATTTCCATCATGATGGTTCAGAGTTTCTCATGATGCTGACTCTGAACAAGTCCAAGGCTCAGATGTTGCTTAAGTTGTTTTCTAAACTTAGTACTTTATTAACAATTTTCTCCTCTCATAAATCATTGAAAAATAATATAATTGTATTTCATTTGTGCCATATCCTTTAATATAAAAGTGATTTTATTGCTTTCTAAAAATTTCATTTTTCAAAGAAATAAATCTCAAAATATTCTTCTCATAAAACAAAAGAGTTACATGCTAGTTCTGCAAAAGAGGTTATTAAGTAAATATGTGGACTATTTCTGGGAGGTTGGGCACATTCACTAACCAGGTCACACTGTGAAATTCAATGTGGCCAATTCTCTTTACTTTTAAGGTGGACATTATTTTGATAAAAGGCAGTGGAAAATCCCAGTTAAAATGATGTGCTGATAGAATACATGGGGTTAGGACTTACAAGAGTGAGTTTCTGTGTCAGTTCTGCTACTAGGACTTCCTGCACACACCATTGAACCTGCACAAAATATTTTCCCTGGCATTTGGTTTTCACACCTGTAAAACAAAGACAACTGGACTGGAGTCTCTTTCAGCTCACACATGGTGTGCGTTTATAGCACCTATTGTTAGGGAAGTATATTGTAGTCAATATGAAAATAATTATTAAAGTGACAACACAAAATGTACCACATTTGGAATGAGTAGACCTTTTTGTGAAACTATATACTAAAATTTAGGGTTCAGTCTCATTTTTCTGAGAATCAAGTAGGAATTATATCCAATGATTCCTTAACTAGACACTTTCAAAATCCAAGTTAAATCTCAAAGTTACATACTCTCACCTGACATTTCGGTTATTTTGGACTGATTAGGCTTAAGATCACTGACAAGGGTTATAGTTATATTGATACTATAATAATTTGAAATCACTACCTGAATTATGAACTGTCAGGAAAAAGACATTTAAATTTAATATTCAGTTTTGACCCTTTTGGAAGTACCACAGCAATACTTGTAGAACAACTGTTTGTCAGACCACCTATACATAATCAAACAAAGCAAAGCACGCTGAGGCTAAAGTTAATGGATGCACGTAAACAATTTTCTTTGATTTGGGTACACTGTAGGGTAAGAATCTCAAGCATGAACACAATGTATAGAAGCCTAATACTAAACAAGGAAGATCTGTGCAACAGACATCTTATAATGACTCCACCCTTCAAATCTAATCCACATGCTCTGATTTCTAGATGACCAGACTAAACATGGGAAGAACATGCCAGAAGAGCTGGTACAGATAGAACCTGAACTGTCCTACTTCCCACATCCTGTCACAGCATTCCTTTGTCCATTTATCCATTATTTATGTTTTCTATCTCTACACTTTATGCCAGATAATTCACTTATTTGTTATGATTGCTTTCACTCTCTGCCTTTCCCCACATAGAACACCAGGAAAACAGACATTGCTTTTTGTCTGTTTTCTTCAATGATGCATCTGGATTCCTAGAATAGTCTGGAATATAGTAGCTATTAACTATTTATATTGGATTTGTTGAATAAATGAATAAATGAAGTATGTATTGACTTATGATGCATTTAAGTAAGAATCTTGAACCTCAGCTGAAATCACTTTGCGAGGCATAACAATTATATACCTACCATGCCCCAGCACAAACACATGTAAGTATAGTTTATAAAGTTCATATGAAGCTTGGCTGGCTGACATTTACTTTTCCTGTTATGAGGATCAATCACTGCAGTGTTGGTCAGGCACAGTGAAAATGTACTTGCCATGGCACAGTGCAGAGATACTCTACTCACAAAAGAAGAGCAAGCAATGGAAGAGCAAACTGAGTTACTTCAGCAAGATCATGGAGATGGAACAGTTTGTAATGATAAAATGCTGCCCCTGAAACCATCTTATCTTTTGATTTCAGCCACCTTGAAACTGCCATGGAGCATAAGACCAATGTGTTAGTGACCCACTTTACAGTAATGTGCACTACAGTCAAAGTCACGTTATACAGATATGGTTATTCCACTAGCAGCAGACAAAAGATGATATTCACATGAAAGCAAAGACTTTCTCAAACAATGTAAAGAAATTTTGACCCATATGGTTGAGATCTGGTAAGGAGAAGAAATTAAACTGGAGAAAATTAATGTAAATTAGAAAGACTGGCCTTTCTACAAAATATAGTATAAAATATAATAGATTCATTAAAATTTTCTGAGGTAATGTATCATAAAGACTAATGTATTAAATTTTCATTTTGAATAACTTTCCATTCACTTTAGTAGGAATGTTGTATGTCAACATATATGACATTTCTTTATAGTTTTAGATCAGAAAAAATAATTTTTTCCCCTTTGTAATATTTCATGCTCTGCAAAGTTTGTCATAATAAACCACTTTGCTTTTATTACAAATAGGTACTACATTAGAAAAGCAATTTAACTATATTCCATTTCTCTTGCAAAGCTAAGCAGTTTTGCATTTCAAGTAAGTTTGAGTTAATAGGACTATGTTTGAATGATGTATTACCTGGACCTGAAGTTACCTACTTGTTTCTTACTGAATTTAGGAGTCTGCAAAATGAAGGCAGGAAACCTGCTGTGAGGAGGATAGGGAAATTATTATAATCTGCACTTGCTCAGCAGAAACCCCTTGACTGCAAAAACTCTGAACTTATATCCTGCTGGTAAGAATATCTGTTTGGGGTGGTAGAAGTCTGAACATACCACTTTCCTTCAATCAGATCAAATTTATGAGTATGTTTACAGCCTTACTGGGACTTTGTTAACAGTCTTGTCAAAAAGGGAAGCAACTTATAACCATGTTTTCCAATAATGACAAAAAATGTTATTAGACAAGTACTTCTTTTTAGCTCATAATATTTCCTGAGTTCCTGTTGTAGGTGGTTTTAATTATTTTCATTCCTCTTTTTTTTTTTTGGCAATTCTGGGGTTTGAACTCAGGGCCTCCTGCTTGGTAGGCCAGCACTCTACCACTTAAGCCACTCCACCAGCCCTGTTTTGCTTTAGTTATTTTTTGGGTAGAGTCTTTCATTTTTTGCTGGGCTGGCCTGGACTATGATCCTCCTACTTATGCTTCCCACTAGCTGAAATTACAGATGTAGACACCATGTTCAGCTTTTTTGTTGTGATGGGGTCTTGTTAACTTTTTGCCCAGGCTGGCCTCAAATGGTGATCCTCCTAATCTCTGCCCCCTAGCACCTGGGATTATACCTGTGAGCCCCTTTGCCTGACCTGATTTTGTTTTTTATACAGTCTTTTGTCTTAGAGAGAAATTTCAATATAACTGTTCAGTTTTAATGCAGAAAATGATTTTTTTTTAATTAATTTACCCTAAAAATAGAATTTCTATTTCTTGGGATGTTTTCAGAAACCAAGTTTATTTGTAGAGCAAATGGTTATGGTAGCTCAAAATAATAATTTATTTATGACTGTATAGCTTCACTATTTATTATATACAGAGTTTCTCTTTCATTTTAGTTAATGCTTTTTGTACTGAATTTCACTTTCAGACATTAACATTTTTAACTCCCAATTTTTTTAGGTTTCATTTGCCTAGTACACCTTTGCCTATCTTTTCATTTTCAAATTTCTTGGATAACTTCATTTGGATTGTGTCCTTGTCCTTGTATATACTTAGAATTGGGCTTTTTAGTGTGGCCCAATCTGAAAATACTATATTTCACAGAAATAAATATACTTATTTACATTTCCTGATAGTAAAAATGACAAAAACATGGTCATAATATTTTAAATTTTCTGTCAAGGATTTTGAAAAAAATATTTCACTATATGGTCTACTTTCCTTGCTTAATTTCTGCAGATTTCAAAACTAATTAGTAGGGTGTGAAATTTATAACTTCATACAATAACCCTGATCTTTTATAGTTTTAGAATGGCAATACAGGGAGGTAGCTTGATGGAAGGACATTATATGCACGTATGGAAAGATCACAATGAAAACCCTTTGTACAACTAATATATGCTAATAAAAAGAATATATTTTATTCCCTTATTAGTAGATAGGAAAAGTAGTACATTTGCCTCCCTCTCCCTCTCATTCTTTACTAGCTAATGTTGTACAATACCAGTACCTTTTTAGATATTTTTTGTACTCTTAAACATGCTGTACTTCTATTACTTGATCTGACAAGTGTAAGTGATAGCTACTGATTTCCAGATATTGAAAAGAAATCAATCCGCTAACTTACTATATGTACAAACTTCTTTCTGGTGTGTCTTTGTAATCTTTGTTAGTTGCATCAGTTCTGCGTTGTTAGGACATTATACTTTTTTGTTATAGTCTGTCACCCTAATTTCCATATTTATTTTATATTTAGAGTAAAATTATTCAATGCTCACAATCAGGTCTTTTGTGAGCATTTCTTGGTTAGGTGGAGTTTGTCCTTAACACTTGTTTCTAAAAGGGTTCATAATAATATTCCTGGAGTTCCTGCAGGTGCCCAATATTTGCCTCTACCCTTAGAGGCTCTAACCTTAAGGGCCAGCTTGGCTGGTCATAAAACCATGGATGCCCACTTTCTTTTCCATAAAGATGGCAAATTCATTATCTTCCATGGTATCCTATTCATCGTTGATGTCTCAACTGGTCCCAGTTAATTTTTAAGTTTAGTCAAAATTCATCTCCTTGAAAACTTCTAAAAGAGTATCTTGGAGACTCTCTTGTATAAAACCTTTAAAAATATTTCTCTTACCCAAGATAAAAATAAAACATCATTGAAGAAAAGTTCTTAAGGCCAAATTATCTCTAGCATACCTTTCAATAGACTTAACATTTATTTATTCAGTTGGTACAGTCAGTGCATTATTCTTACAATCTTTGGGTATTTCTCATAGTCCTCTTTTTAAGCATGTTACAGTGATCATTTTAAGGGTACTAGAGTCATCTGGTACAAAGACCTCTAGGGTGAAGAAACCGAGATGAGAAGAAACTGGGAGAGGTAAAGAGATTTCCGTTAGTCTAAGCCACTACTAGGAAGCAGAGTCAGGCTTTGAAACCCAGTCACTCTAGGTAAGGGATCCTTTCACTTTACCAAGCCCTCCAAAATTACAACAATCAGTAACATTTCACTGAACTTAGAGGACTCAGTGTATGCTCTGCCACACAGAGTTTAGCTGATGTCTGATAGTCATCATTTCATTCCATATTCTAACTATGAAATGACATAGAATAGCTGTATCAGGGAACTTTCTGTGGGGTTTCTGTTAAATATACAAAATGTCACTTTTATTTTCTGTTTCTTGTAAATGAGAACCAGATAAATGCAAATTTAGTTTTCCTATTTCAATTTCTATCATTTGAAATAAAATTAGACACCTTATGCTGAAAACACAAGAGCCAGATTCTATGTTCAAATACACCACCCACTCTCTCTCTCTCTCTTGCAGAATTTGGCTCTAAAAACCCATTAACCAATATTGTCATTAAACTAAAGAGCTAATTACTTTGGATTCAGACAGTATGAACAAAATCATAGGCCAACCACAGCTGGTAGAAATAATGGTTAAGACTAACCGTATGTTACACTAGAGATTTAAAGAACAAAGACATATTGACACTAATGTAACCAAACATACAAAATTATCCTCTAAATGGAACTACTATTATAGTTAGAAAATTCTTGGAAGCACATTGGAATTATCTGATACATAAAATAAAGACTATTTCAAGGGAATTAATTACTATAATTTGAAATTATCAGTGTTTAATGAAGAGCAAAACATGGAGAATTTTGTTCAACATTCTACAAATGAAGAATTATATCTAAAAATTATTTTAATCTAAATATTGTACTGGTCTCTATTCAAATTTCTTTTAAGTTTAATAGAAGAGGTAAGAGTTGCTTTAAGCCACTTTAAGCATCCATTAGCAAGACTCTCTTAAAATTTTGAAAAGTGCATTTCTCAGATATCTGAGTAGTTTCTCAGCTCTTTAAAAATATTTTAAAATTCCAATAAAGTTTTACCAACCCCAAGAAACAATTATAATCAGCAATAATTTTATGATAAGCTTTCAATTTTCTGCACATGTATCCATCAGTTTTTTAATGAAAATCGAACCATGTCATAGTGGTGCTTTGTGACTTCTTGAATTCATGTACATTTACTATGAAGACTTTTCAATGTTATTAATTATACTTTTACCTATGTATTTTAATGACTTCCCACCTTGTTAAATTGAGAATAATAAACACATTTTAATCTTTTGGGTATCTCATAGATTTCATTATTATACAATTTCATAATATTATTAATGCTGCCAGAGTTTCTTACATATTTAAGTCTACTTTCTCCTGTACTGATGGCCCTAGATGGCTGTGCTATTCTAAAGATTACCCACAGATAACTAAAGTAATTAATCATTTTTAATTCAATGACATTTATGAGAACTCAGATATTTTCTTCACTTCCTCCACCTTCATCTTGGAGGACAACTTCTTCCTCTCCCTTACTCAAGAAATCATTATTGAAAAACACTTGCTTAGCTTCTCATTGTTACATCACCTGATGAGATTTTTGTTTATTGTTCTTTGTATTCGAATTTTGTATCACAATTGTGGAAGACAAACGAATGCTTTAATAATTGAGAGGATCAGAAGAGACCTCAGTGGTCCATTTCTGCTCTAAAACTTGATTCTATAAAGTACCTGCAATTTACACTTTGGCTGCATATTTTTCTTGCTGAGTATTGAGACTGCCTTTCTCAGGCTCCCTGAAACTGTGCTATAAGTGTTCTTTAGGGAACCACAATTTAAGAAAACAGTCTGATAAATACGCCAGTGATAATGAATGTGACTCACTTGAGGACACAATTCCATCCTCTCTCCACCTGCTCCTCTGCAAGGGAAATAAAAACCAGGAAAAAGGAAATGAAGGAGAGAGAGAGAGAGACAGCTAAACAGAGAGAGAAAGAGGGAGGGAGGGAGAGGAGAGAGGCAGTCACAGAAAGTAGGAGATAGGGACAGAACAGAAAAATAGTTTCTATGTTTTTTTGAAATGGAAATATTACACAAGATTTGCAGTAAAAGACTTATTAAGTGTCATTTGAGGACCTTTTACAGCCACAAACTTATGATCTATAAATTTTAGGATTTTTCAATGTGTACTACAAATTTTAGAATTTTATGTTCAGGTGTGGAAATCTTAATATTGAGAACAATTCTGATAATTAATATATGTGAAATTATTATTATAATTAATTCAATTCTGCAAATCTTTTCTTGTGATTACTTGAAAACAACTGTGCCTTGCTTTATATGTATGAATATACTCAATTTTCTATATGGATAGATGATATGTGTAGCTAAATTGACACCAGAGGGATATATTTCTTTTTTGATGAAAGGTTTATTTTTACTTTTTCAAATTTTATGGACAGGAAATCTAACACAACGTGTACAAGTACACAAAAAGACTGATAGAGACAGAGAAAAATATCCATAAAGCTGAAATTCAATCAAAAGATTTTCATTAAAATCTCATTTTCACTCTAAAATACTACTGTATTGATCCATTCATCAGTAGTGGGGCATCTTGGCTGTTTCCAAAACTTGGCTATTGTGAATTGTGCTGCAATAAACATGGGTGTGTAAGTGCCTCTGGAGTAACCTGTGTCACAGTCTTTTGGGTATATCCCCAAGAGTGGTATTGCTGGATCATATGGCAGATCTATGTTCAGATTTTTAAGAAGCCTCCAATTTTTTTTTCCAGAGTGGTTGTACTAGTTTGCATTCCCATCAGCAATGTAAGAGGGTTCCTTTTCCCCGCATCCTCACCAACACCTGTTGTTAGTGGTGTTGCTGATGATGGCTATTCTAACAGGGGTGAGGTGAAATCTTAGTGTGGTTTTAATTTGTATTGAAACTTCAAGGAACTGTCACAACTTAAAATTTGAATACATGTGATATAGGAAGTAAATACAATAAAGAGATTCACTGAATGTGTAACCTATCATAAATATATCATATGATTTATAAGTTATTGTTTAAAGAATAAAAGTAATGAGAAATATATTAAGCATATCTGTTCTTTTGAAATCTAAGCCTGAATTTTCAAAATACAGAGAAAAAGATACAACTCTCAAAATATAAAAATGTTTAATCAATGCTGGTAATAGCTCTATTTGTATCTTCCAGACATTTCTTATAATTAGATCCAATAACCCTAAACATGTGTATAAATTAAAACATTACAGAGGACAGAGTAATAGCTAGAAAGAGTAATGCCTGATGTTCAGAGCTATCACTCACTGGTAATTAGCTTATCATATTGAAATTTAAAAAGGAATATTAATGTGAATTAATAATTCAAATAGGAGGAATAAAAAAGGAGTGCTAATTTATTGTCATGTTAAAATGACTCCTTTTGCAAAATAGTTTCTGCCTGGTAGAAACTGGGGAGAGAGAGGGGGCAGGGGAAGGGAAGATAAATGACCCAAAAATTGTGTGCACATATAAATAAAAGAAAAAAATGACTCTTTTTTCTTGTGACTAAAGGAAACAAACAACATAAAAGTCAAGTTTAACATAAAGTTTAAAAAATGAAAAGTATATATTATTTTTGAGTCCCAGTTTCAATGTTTTTTAAAGGTCTGAAAGACCCCACTGTGTTAAGCTCACTTAGAGCTAAGTAAATGTAAAACTTCAATTCCCTGGGCCAGTGGTAAGGGAGGGGGTGGGGGCAGGGGGGAGAAATGACCCAAGCCTTGTATGCACATATGAATAATAAAAAAAAAAAAGAAACCTTTGCTAATTGTTAAAAAAAAAAAAAAATTCCCTGGGCCATATCTTAGCCCTAGTAAGTCTAAGTTTCTGTGAAATATGCCAGGAGTTAGCACTTTAAAAGCCTCTCCCTCACCTCCATGTGACTCTTGTAACACTAAAAGTTTGAGAACCACTGTGTATTATGTTTTTTTAGTGTGAAATGTATTGCCAAATGATCAAGATTTGTACTGTGCCTTTATTATATTTATATCTATATGATATGTAGCAATTTTAAATATTGCATTTTATTAATTTCCTATTTTTTGTGGAACTGCACATAGATGGCTATTTATCTTGTGAGCACATAACTTTTTTTTTCACTTTTGTGTATTTAAAAAATATTATTTACTTCTGACGTAATCAAGAGTTACACAAGGAAGCAAGTTACCTCCAAAATTCACTTACCTTCAATTCTTTGTATTCATTCCAAATTTTTGAGCAGATGTGATGGAAACATTCAAGAAAAATATACACTGGATTCTCTAATTTCCAAGGGTGTTAAGACTTGCCAAGGAGACTCCTAAGGTGAATAGCAGAAATGTCGTTGAGAAGAGAAGCCACCAATGGTTATGCCAGTTGGCACCTGATTATCTCTAAACAGAACAGAAAAACACAAAGTTGGTCACCTGTAATTCATAGAGAATCTGCTACAGACAGGGTTATTTTCAGTAAACCAGCAGTGTTACTAAATTTAAACTTGGCCTGGCTTTGCTGCTCCCCAATTTAGCACAGTTGTCATTTAAAATTTCATGTCATTGTGAAGTCAGAATTGCATAATGATGCTGCCTGCAGAGATTTCTGGTAGAATTCCTATTGCTTTAATTGGCTATTTTTTCTAAACATTGCATCAAGTGGCATAATTACTAATTTTATTTTTTATATGCAGATACTACATTTTGGTGCTGAATTTCTAAGTCAAGGTTAATAAGGTCCTTGGAAATATATCTTTACATGAACTCTGTCATACCCCGTAAAAGATAAAATGGTATATTTTTACTAAATCCCCGTGGAATCATCTGGTAGTTTTGCTATATTTTCTTTCACATGGTAATGCTTGCCAAGATAATTAGGCATAAATGAATAATATGATTTGTAGTCAATACCTGTAGACTACTAAGGGAAACCAAAATTCTAGCATCTTTCCAGAATGAGTTAAGCAAAAGTTGCTAGTATCTAATAGAATTTAAAAATTGATAATTAAGAGACTAAACAAAATGTACAGATAGATATAAGGTCAGATATAACATGACAAAAGTGTATGATACATGCAGCCCAGAATACACTGTGTTACAATAGTTCTGATGGAAGACTCTAATGCCTACCTAAACAAACATCACTTCTAACATCTTCTTCCTTGCTATGTTTCACAATAAGAATGATTTTGTAACCCTATCCTGGTTCAGACACAATGAAAAGTATGTTTGGTAAAGAAATCCTGGAAGAATTTTCTTTATTCATAAATAGAAAGATAATTGCTTCTTATCTCTCTTCTATACCTTTGCTTGCCTTGAATGAGGATGTGATACTTGGGATCAAGGCAGTTGTCTTGTCACCATGATACAAAATGCAATAAAGAGAAACAAAGATATAGACCCCATTATTAATGAGCAGCAGACCAATACCTCTGATACTATATAATTCAGCTTGCTTGAACCACTAAGTTTTCTCTTCCTTGCTTAGAAAAGATTTGCTGGTTGACCAAACACAAAAAATTGCTTAAGAATTAGGTGCCACTGCAGTGATTGGAGTGAAATCTATCTTTAACTCCTTAGAGTGTAGTCTGCAATAACTGAAAGTTCTCATTCTTCCAATTATGACAGCCTTTACCTGACAGATATAGGAACTTGTTTTCTTTTTGATTCTTGGCAAAGTTGTACATGTGGGGAACAGTGAGACATAAGATAATGGTGACTAACCAGCTAAGGGCTAGGTTTGAAGAAGAGGGTCCAGTGGTAAGGGAAGAAAAAGGTAGAACCTCATCCTTGCCACACGGCCAATTATCCAATTATTTGGAATCTTAATGGTAGAGATTGAAGTTTCACCTAAGTTCTTTTTATTATCTTGCTGTAGATTCTTTCTTGGAAATACTTTTCGCATCTGTCACTTCACTACTATCTTCCTTTCATCAACATTTCTTTCAGTCACAGTCCTGGCTCTCACAATCTCTTTCCTTCAGTATTGTTGTAGACCTTTCAACAGATTTCTCTACTTTATTTATTTTTTTAAAAAAACAAAACACTGCAACATGTCCTAGAATTGTCTTAGGACTTAACTTCTCAAAACATTGAACTCATTGGAGCTTTCTGTTCAAAACACAAGAGTTCCATTAAGTTTAGTGAATTAAGTGTAATGCTCACCCTGGCACTTAAGTCTCCTGTCATCTGGAGCCTTCTACATTTCCTAACTCTGTCCTAACACTCTAGATGGTACGTACATCTCATTAGCTCAAGATAATCAATATCTACCTATAATAATTTCTATCTACAAGGATAGGGATGAACATATGACCTTTGTAGATCAATGGATCTCCATTCTAAGGTTTTTGAAGCCCAGAAAAAAACCAGTTTGCTTCTTGCTGAACATAAGCAGGCAAACATGCAGCTTCTGAAAGCACTGACAACCATCTTGAGATCTTGGAAAATCTGCTAGAAACCAAGTGGACACTAAGGAACCAGAGATAAGAAATGGAAAAAAAAAAGGGACTGAGTTATGAACACATTTCACTCCTCGATAGAGACTTGCAGGAGGACTATCACAAATTTTCTAGTTACCTGTGAATCTATAGATTCTTTCAGAACAATTCAGTTTGGGTTAGTATAATTTGTAATCAAAAAGATCCTTTCAATCTATTTATATTTTTATTATATACCTACCTTTTCATTAATTTCTACTCATTCCCCTTCTTAATTCATAGTCACCTTTTTTTCCTCTTCTCTTGGGAAACTTTTTCAGATTCTTTTTAGATTCTTTTAATTCATGAGGAGAGAACCCTAATCCAAACTACTTTATTATGTATTATCTACTGTATGCACCATGGTGCTATAATTTGATGAATCTCAAATTTTACGTTTAGCTTATTTTTTTCCTTATCTTTTCAGACTTTTATTTTTTAACCAAATAGTTGACATTTTAAATCAGATGTTTGGAGGAATTTTCAAGCTGAATTTGTCTACAACTGAATTAGTAAACACTTCCTCTTAAATACAGTTTCCCTTCAGTGTTGCACACTTCTATAATATCACCTTTTGGATAAATCAAAAGCCAAGCTGTTCAAACTTTAAAGGAATCTGATTCTTCTTTCTCTCAGGCCCAGGATCTGATCATCAAATTCTTTGGATTTTACTTCCTGAATAATTTTAAGTCTCTACTTTGCTCACTGTGTTTCTATAATTTCTTCTTCCTTCTCTTCCTCCTCCATCACTACCACCAAGACCTTGTCTATTGCCCAGAATAACACTTTCTGTCTCCTATTATGCATTTGGTGTTCTGCCATTATGTTTTCCTTGTGGCAGCTAGAATGATCATTTTTCTTTCTTTGCTTATTTGAAATAGGGTCTTTCTATGTAGCTCAAGTTGGCCTTAAAGTTGCTAAAGGAACCCTAAGCTAGTCTTGAACTTGGGATCCCCCTGCTTCTACTTTCCAAGTTCTAAGATTACAAGCATTGCACCAGCCTGCTGAGCTCCAGAATGCTCTTTTAAAAATACACACTCAATCATGTCAAACCCTCACTTAAAAACCTTCAGTGCCTTCCCAATATACACACTTAGGACACACTTTTATGTGGTTTCACATCATCCACTCTTTGCCTCAGCTCCCTAGAGATCAGAGACACTTTCTCATTTATTTTATTCTTAGATACACAGCATTCAGCAAAAAGGCATAATTCATATTAAACACTCAATGAATATTTGTCAAATGAATGAAAAATTGCCTTGCAGTAATGCATGAATGACTTTGCATGAATTTTTCCCTCATTTTTTGTTTTTTTGAATGCTTATAAGTATATGGAAGACAAAAACATATCACATATATTTCTTTGTAACCTATAATCACAAGTACAAGAGATGCATAGCTAAGAGGATTGTGGTCTGAGGCTGTCCCTGTTAAAAATGCAAGGCCTTACCTGAAAAAAACTAAAGCAAAAAAGGGCTGGGGGCATGGTTCAAGAGGTAAATTGCCTGCCAAGCAAGTACAAGGTCCTAAATTCAAACTCTAGAACTGCCAAAAAAAAAAAAAAAGACTATTTGATTTTAGTGATATCTATAATTCAATCTTGATTCTTTTTTAAAAAGTTGATATTTATTCTCTTTCATAATGGCCAGGTTTTCACTTTCCTATAAGATTAGAAATGAACAAGGGAAATGCATTTTTATTCTGTCAAAAAGTAAGAAGAATAGGAAATGTATTTGATCACAATTCTAAACAATTTCTACAGATCAATTATAGAACAGTTGTTTTGTATGATATGGAGAACCCTGAGATAGACCTTGAGTTAGATGGACAAATGTTCATATATCATTTTAGTTTTCTTCCACTGTCATTTAAAAAATATTGTATATTTCTCTTCAGACATGAATTATATTTTAAAAGTAATGAAAAAGAGCTGGGTGGATGCCTGTAATTCTAGCTATCCAGGAGGTGAACACAGCAGGATCATGGGTTTGAGGTCAACCCAGGCAACAGTTAGTGAGACCCTTTTTCAAAATCAAGCTAACATGGTGGCAGACATCTTTGGTGCCAGCTACTTGGGAGGTGGAGGTATGAGGATTATGGTCAGAAGGCAGGTCAGGCAAAGTTAGGAAAACCCTGTTAGTCAAACAATCTAAAAATAAAAGGACTGGGGACATGGCTAAAGTGATAGCGTGCTTGTGTAGCAAGTGTGAGACCCTGCATTTAATCCCCACTAACACATTAAAAACTGTACAGTAAAAATTCATTACTCTTAATAACTAACAGCAGAAGCTTTTGTGAGTAGAGACTCATTATTTTGGAAAACAGTTACCCCAAATACAAATAATCTGTAGACATTGGATATTTACTTAATGGAGCTGAAGGAGCCTTAGGGACTCAAATGTAGTGATTCAAAGGCAGGTATGCTGTACCATCTGATCTTATATCCTGATCTCATTCAAAATAAGGGAAATGATTCCTCAGATAGCCTCAGATGAGAACATTTATTGGGAGCCTACAAGCAATCAAATAGTGGATCCGAGAGTGTATTGTGCTGAACAAGAGTCAGTCTAACAGGGTATACATGTCTTAGGGCTTAGGGTTTCTGGCCGTGTTAGCTGTGGCTACATAATGTTTTCCAAACTGGAGAGAGGTAGAATACCATTAGGATTAAAGAGATCTGGAAAATGAGAGGCCAGGGAATGTGAGAGTAGACAATGGAAATTTTGGAGCTGAACAAAATTCTTGAGCAGATTTAATTTCTTTAAAATGAAGTTTGCCTAAGGCATATTTATATAAGAAGTAATTACCTTGGGTTTCTATAGACTATTGTTTAGTTATAAATACTTTCCAGTTTTCTCAAAGTATTGAATCTGTTGGGAAGTTTTTAAAATTAAAAACAGGAAGGAAGGGGAGGAGGGAGAGAGGAAAGGAGAGAGGAGGGAGGAAGAGAGGAAGGGACAGAGGAACAGAGAAGGGTAGGAAAGAGAAGAAAGAT